GAAGTTTTATGTAACAAATAATTACAAAACACAAGAACAGCTGCAAGGTATTTAAGGTAGTACCCATGTATAATACACATCTTTATTTTACCCTCAAAAAATTGAGCAAAAAAGTATACATTATGCATGGCAAAATACTGTAGTTAGTTCTTTGATAAAGCTATGAAATACTGAGGCAGAACTTTTAGATTAGTTGAAATCAGGGATAAGGTGGAAGAGTGAATAAAATGATGATGTTCAGGTTATGGAGAAAGGGCAGCATGAAATGAGTCTCAAAAGATGAGTTGTATTGCTCAACTAAATGAAAAGAGAAGTTTATTTGGACAGGAGGAAAGTGCATGAAGAGATGAAAAGAAGGGCGAGATGACATTGGTGACACAAGAAGCTTCACTTGAATTATATTTTCTCAAATAGAAAGAAATTAAATGATTTTAAGTAGAGGAGTGTCATAGTGAGATTAGTATTTTATAGTGACAATTCTGGCAAAAAGTAAAAGATGGATTTAAATAGAAAAAATGGAGATAGGGAAAGATTGATGTGATTATTGCTGGAAATGAGAGAGAAATACAATAAAGTGGCCAAATCTAGGATAGTGGTATTAGGGATGGGGGGAAAAACGGAAAAGGTTTCAGAAATATGTCATACCACTAGGTGGGCATAGTAATTAATATGAGGGTATGGGAAAGTATAGAATGACTCACAGATTTTTAGCTTAGGAAGCACTGGATGCATAATAGTAACTAACTCAATTGGTAAAAGAAGGAAGAGGAGTTTTGGAATGTTAAGAGAAGTCAGTATTTGGTGTGTGTGGGGTGCAGGGAGGTAGACAAGTCCATTAAGTTATATTTAATGAAGTTTAGTATGGTCATTCCTCACTTAACAAAACTTAACTGGGAATCCATCACTTGCAAAATTGGTAATGGGAGGACTCCATATACAGACACAAAATCTGGCCTAGTCTATGGTCTATGATATCTTATTGTCACCATCTTCTCCAAAAGCTCCTCTCCCCAAGCCCTCCCATGATAGAAACATATTGACAACAGAGTCAGTATGTTTGATGTGCTCAGGAGGAAGGACTGGGGAGGAGGAAGATAGGAGAGAACAGGCACTGGAATCCAGCCTAAAGAAAGCTCTTCTTGAACTCTTTCAATGTGACATTTTCTAGAATTAGTTATGATATGCTTATTAAGATGGGTAATAGTTATGTGGCCAAAATCCACTCTCTCTTAACTCAGTGACTATTAGAAAAACTGTAAACACAGGGATATTTAACAGATTTGTGTTTACTATTTAAATGTGGTATAATTTGAAAGGTCATAAAAATTACAAAATATATATTTGAAGAGTTAATTTTAAGATCTTCAGTTTTTGTTTTTCCTAACATTTGAACCCAGGATTTGTGAAATTTGTAAGTAAATATTATGTTAATTTATTTTCAATTACTTTATTGTGGTAAAATATAAGTAATATAAAATTTTCCATTTTAATGATATTTAAGTGTACAGTTCAATGGCATAAAGTACATTCTCATTGCTGTACAAACATCAATGTCATCTATCTCCAAAACTTACATTACTTTGTTTTTTTTTAAAAAGTATTAAATGTTGTAAAATTCAAGACCTGCTTATCACCTGCCTTTCCATTTTATATATCCACTTATAGAAAATAGGACGTCTGTTGTACTCTAAAATTATATCTAGAGCAATTTCTGCACATACTGAAGATCAGCTTATGGATATTTAATTTTGGCAAAGACTTTTAACATTCTACCAATTCTATGTCCTATAAGAAAAACACTGTGTTATTGAATCAAAGCAAAGAACACTTTTTAGTTAAACCATAACAAAGCTATGACTATTAAACATTCTCTTCAGGAGAGTGAAATTTAAAGTTCAGGACTCCATGTGGTTCTAGGAAATGTAGAGTATGCCAGAATGTGAAATAACAATAATGAGCCATACTCTAGTACAGTTCTTGGCCCACTGAAGGCTATAATAAATGTTTTATGTGAATAAAAGCATTTACTAGGAGAGAAAATTAAGCATGAGTTATGTAAAATGTATTATTAATTTAACAATTGTGTAGATCATGATAATTAATAGGCAAATTGAATGTCCAATTACTAACTGAAAGAAAACAACGAATGTATCATTACAAGTGCTATATGAAATAAGCTAAAATTATTCTAAAACATTAATTAGATTTTAATAGACATAGATATTTAAAAGCTGGGAAGAAGCACTGTGTGATTTACTGAAGGCCATACTCTAGAGGGTCGGTGTCACAAGGACGCACTGGAGCCTTTTCAAGTTGAGATCCACAGTGGGGAGTAGCCACGAACAATGTAGACGGTGGAGCCAGGCCACCTGTGTTCCCATTTCTACTCTGCCATTTGTTATCGGTGTGGAATCAAACAAACTATTTAGCCTTTGTCTGCCTCAGTACCTTTATCGGCAAAATGAAGCCAATCATAAGTTTTGTGAGAAATATGTCAAAACATGTCAAGTGTCTCAAACTGTACATGGCACAAACTCAAAGCTTAATAAGTGGTAGATATTACTACTGCCATGAATCCTCCATAATTTAAAACATAGCAAAAAAACTAAATTCCTTTTCTTTGAGAAGAGTCCAAAATAGTATAGAGTACTAATGGAAGGTGTTTGTTTTCATTGTCTTTCACTTATTCTCTTGTGACCCAGACGGATCACAAGGCGGATGAAAAATGACCTTTCCTGAAAGACAAGAAAAGTGCTGTTCTCACCATGACTCACATCCTGTATCACAACCACCATCGCCAGGAGCACTGCAACTACGATCGCCACCAGCACTGAGAGCACCTCCACCAGCTCGTCCTGACACCATCGTTGCCGCTGTATCCACCACCATCATCATCACAACTACCATCGTCACTGTGAGCCCAGGTTTCACCGCTATTTCCGTCATCACAGTCATGACCGCTGTTGCCGCCCAACCATAACCGTCACGATCGCCGCTGCCACCATACCATCGCCGCCCCCACTGATAGCACGTCCACCAGGTCACTGGGACCATCACTGCCTCCCCGCCACCACCCACAACCACAGCTACAACACTTTTAACCTCCACATGAGTATAAATCTGAACTTAAAAGTGTCAATGGGAAGAAAGAACAATAACAGGCAAGACGATGTAACTGTGTATATGCCGGTGAAGGGAAGAACAGGACATTTAAAAGGGCATTGGGAACTGTGTGCAGAGACAACAAAAGGCATACCAAGTAGCCAGTCTTGAGTAAATTTTTACACATGTTTATTTTACAGTTTTACAGAATTAATGTACTTCACGTACTTGGGATTCAAGTAGCTAAAAGGAATATGCCAGAAAAAAACAAAAAGTCTTATGTATGAGCTGTGGAAAAGGCTGAGTCGATGGCTTTAGAGCAAAACCACTGGAAAAATACAATTAAAACTTCCCTCTTATATACTAACCTGTGCTGTCTGAAATCTGTAGCTAAAGTTGTGTAAACTAGTGGTTAAGAGAATGGGCTTTAATGAAAGAGTCTTGGATTTAAGTTCCACATATGCTACATATATGACCTTGTGATTCAACCTTCCAAAGCCTCAATTTTCTCCATCTGAAAAACGATGATAACCATTATTTAGACTTTGTGTAAATATTTAAAAATACTTACATAATGTGCTGTGTCAATTATACTTCAATTTAAAAATGAATGTAATACCAGCACTTAGCACAATGCTTATACTAATCTAATATTAAGACCTTCTCTGTTACTCTCTAAACAGTTTCACACTCAATCTTAAGGTAAGGGCGAACATTGATTCATCTCCTCCTCTCATCCCTTATCCTTCACCCCAAGGGAACTCATTAGCAAATTCTTTCTGTTTCAGTTCCAGAATGTAGCTCGAATTCATCCACGTCCCTGCCACTATCTTTGCCTAACCCCAGACTACTCTGATAGATCCTGTCTCCCAGCTGCTAGTCAGAACAATCCATTCTTCACATAGCAGCCAAGGTGAACTTTAAACATGTCAATCAGATGATGCTCAAAGCCTTCAATCACTTTCTATTACACTTAAAATCAGATGATAACTCTTTACCATCATTTTTCTATGTGACCTGACCTCTGGCCATCTTTTTATCTTATCTCTTACCACTTTCCCCCTATTTCTAGAAGATGTGGTCATACCACCCTCCTTACTGTTTTGTTTTTTTTTAAACACACTGAGCTTTAAGTCTTCTTTCATAGAGGCCTCCAGGTCCACATATCTAAAGTAGTATCCTCTATACCCAGTCCCTCTCCATTATTTTGCCTTATGTTTTCATAACTCTTTTAATCTGAAGTTATTCTTATATGTCAATTTGCATTTATTTAATCTACTACTATCAAAAGTAAGACAATTATATCATTGATCATGTTCCTATTCTCAGCTCCAACAGCAGTGCCTTGCATATTTTTAAAATGTAATAAGATATTCACTATACAAATGGAAATAGAAATTTTAAAAGGTATAAATGCCTGACTTGAGTAATATCTCATTACAGAGAAAACTATAGGGGGAATTTTTCTATGGAGAAGGAAGCTCACAGATCCCCAAATGGAGGCAAAAGAACAGATGGAAGACTTTTATCTGAAGGCCTCATATATAATTTTTTCATAAGCTGTTCTGAAATAAGTACAAGAAAGGTTAAGAGAAACTTGATCAATTTTGTTTAGTTCCAGAGTGTATAATTGATCTGTGGTATTTAAAGGTTATACTTAGGTTAACACAGACATTCATTCCATAGCTGACTCATTGTCAAGGGCATACAATGCCCAAAACCTGAATATAATGGTTCCGTCACATAAATAAGGAAAAAAATGGGACATGGCAATAGGTCCAAAACTTACCTATTATGCTTATTTAGCTATAGAATTATGTGATTAGTTAGTTATAAGAGTACATAACACCTAATAAGCAAAAAAGAAAGTAACATCAAATTTCAACTCCTCCACTCACTGTGCACGGGGTCTGCATCCAGGGTTCCCCATCGATCTGCATTGGCAATGACTTGCTAGTCCTGAAAGAAGATATTTCCTTTAAATATAACACTGGAACACTTTACCTAACAGATAATACACATAAGATATCAGACAATGAGACCAGGAAATGCAGATATGGTAATAGCTGGACTCTCAAGTTACATATTTTAAAAGGAACTTCTACTCTTGTTTATTAAGGAATTCACTCTTGTTTATTAAGGAATATGCTCCTGTTTATTAATGAATACTTGATCACAGGACTGTTAAACTTTCTGGTAGATGTGGTTATAGAAACAGAACTCTGATTCCAAAAAAAAATAATGTAGGGTATGCGTTTAACGGCCAAATCAGAGTTCCTACAGCCGGAAGAGGCTCCTTGTTTTCATGCAAAGCCACATTGCAAACCTGGAAAAAAAAGTGTTTGATGGCACTTTGGTCCATGAAAGAATTTATGTTAATAATGCTTCCACAGCATTCTCACGGGGTCATTTGCCCAGCAGACAACTCAGTTCTTTAGTAAGCTGAACAGAGTGTGACAAAGCTCAGAGAGGATGAAATTTGTATGTTCGAATTGTATCCATGGTCTCAATAAGGTAATATCTAATCCCAATGGACCTGATAAGCAATAGCTAACCAAAACTTTGTAAAATCCGCCCATTTTCAGTATTTTGAAATATAACAGTATTAATGATTAATAACTTGAGGCACAAATAAGACAAATGCTGTTATGTGTTATGCATACTTTTAATTAGTCTATAGCTATGCCATGTTAACCCCCCTTTTCAACTGCAGAGAAAGAACTACCTGATGACCACAGAGGAGCACTGAGCCAGCCGCCGCCCAGCACTTTTTAGTCCTGTGTATATTTGCCCCATCTCCATGGCTCCTTCCAAGCCAACCACCTCCAGCAGCTGATCACTCAGATCTGAAAGAAAGCAGAGCCTTGTATGTTACAGTGCATAGGCACATGTGTACGATTTAATGACATCAGATATGATGGAGCTGAAAAATAAAAGCTACTTCACAAAGAAAGCTTCTCTGTCTTAGATACTGAAAGTAATGAAAAGATGGCCTATTTATGAAACTCTCAGTTTAACTAAACCATGAGGTACTGTGGGAAAAGATTTGCTGTCAGCTTATTCTAAAACAAAATGGGAAGAATGGATTCAGAGCCAAATAATGCCAAAAAATATACCAGTAGTTCTTAACATCAACAAACTTAATGTTATTCCACATGTATATATGGCACATTTATACATCCCACATCAGACATTTGGCAGCAAATACACATTTCAGCACTATAAATAAAGTATAAGGATATGCTGTCAAATATGATTTTGTTAAATTACTCCAACAAAAGACCTAAGAGATCATGCAGTTAAAGTTCTCAATTTAGAGATAAGAAGATCGAGTCTCTAAATCATTGAATGACTTGTCCAAAGTCTTTGGTAACTTTGTGCAGAAGTTCAAGAAATGATATTAATTTATTGAAGGGTTCTTCTATGATAGGAATTTGCTATGAAAATACTATTTGGGAGTAGACAGGATAATTAGCACAGGAAAATATTTTTTTCCTAAGTGATTTCAGAGAGAGGGGGACAGAGAGATCTATTTGTTGTTCCACTTAATTACACATTCATGGGTTGCTTCTTGTATGTGCCCTGACCTAGGATTGAACGTGCAACCTTGGCATATCGGGCCAATGTTTTAACTTACTGAGCTACCCAGCCGGGGTTCTTATTTTCCCCCCCGGAAGACAGCATAAAGAGGTAATAGTACTAAGCATTGTTTGTTGAGTATTTACTAAGTGTCTGTCACTGAGCTAATCATTTTTACATAGCATCTCATTTGTTCCACCTGAAGCCATTTTAACACAAATAAGATTATTCCCATTTATTGAGAGAAGCTGAAAATTAGAGCAGTTAACTAATTTATTCAGATGCACATACCTGAAGTTACAGAGCCAAAGTTTGAACCCAAACACTTTGATGCATAGCCACTCTGCAATATTTGATAAATCTGCCATATCAAAAGACAGACTTTAAAAATAATAGAAATGCTTCTTACATAGGAGGGGAGGTTGAGAAGGACTTTTTACTCAGTAAGGAAGCAAAGGTTGTGCTTCTGTTAGTGGAATCCCATAGAACCTAGCTCTGACACGCAGACCATGAGCCTACCCCTGAGCTCAGAATGCTTGAAAATCTGATTTGGAGGTGAAATTCTAGGTGCGCATATGTGGTCCTTTTATTTTGATATCCTCATGGAATTTAAAATGTAAATAAGTAGTTTAATATTGTTTTAGTGGCAGAAAAAGCTGGAGGTTGTGCCATAGAGTGAGTGGGTATGATTATACAAGGTGATCATGTAATAGCTGGCCATAGCTGAAGTTCTACTTGAAGAAAAAAAAGCAAATGTGTTTCATATGGACTCCATTTTGCATGGCAAACCTTCATTCTCCACTAATAAACCCATTTTAGCATGAAGGCCAGAGATGTAGATGACACCTTTTCAGGGTAGTTCAAGTGTGTGGCAATAGCATTTTGAAATCCCAAGGTTTGTTAGGCTCATGACCACTGGCCAATTTAATATAAACCCTTAAAATAGAAAGTGTGATCAAGTATTTTTTAAGTGAAGCAATTAAAAAAATCTGTTTTTAAACTGTAAGTTAAAGCTGCAGCATGAGATTTTTCTAAGAACAACCTCCTAGCCACAGAATCAAATGTTTACAAGTCTAATAATTCAGAGCATTTACCTTGCTCTTTTAAGCCCTATTTAGATTTATTTTTCATGAAACTTATTCTATGTTTCTAGTTTAAATTTATGTCACCAAGAACAGATGGACAGGAATGGAAACATATTCTTTCAGCTGTAGCCGGCACTAAAATTTGCTTGGCTCTGTAGCTTGAGTGTTAATATACGCATTTCTTAGATATGTCAACCAGAAATCTACACTGTGGCAAGCACTAAAACCCCAGATGTGTGTCTGCTGATATTTATAAAACAACCGCTACAACAACAACACTGAAGTTCATATTTAGTATTATATTTTTGCACTGCCTGATTCTTAAATATAGGGTCCAGCAGAAGTAAGGCCTGCTTGACTGTGGTTGGTAGGGTAATAATATGGGTGTAACAATTTATACTTTTAGTTTGAACATTTCACCTAAAATGTCATATGGTGTGCTTGAGTGTGATATCGTTATGCTACAGAATTTCACGCTTATGATTTTGTAATAAAGGATATTTTGTAATAAAAATCCTTTTATAAAAGGATTTTGTTATTTGTGCTGGACCCTGTAGGTGAATTTCATGCTAATTTTTGTAATGATCTGGTTGATGGGAACTAGTCTACAAGAAATGAAACACTTTTTCACAACAAGTTAATCTGTAAGCCCTAACTTTTCAATGAACCGCAGGGATTGTCTACACCCATACCATATTGCTACCACCTACCACTCTCCTAATTTTTTCTTTCTTTTAATTTGTTTTTGTTTTTCTCCCAGAAAATGTGCCCTGATATTCAATCCTACCATTACTAATCATTAATGAAGATATTTCTTATGGATTTAGAAGACTTAGGCTTCCAAACTTTTGTGTTCTTGCTAACACAAAGAATTGCATAAAAATAGTGGTATATTTACTAACTCTGGTAAAGGTAAATAAATACCATATTCCTTTTAGTTAGGTGTTCAGAAAAAAATAAAAAAGAAACCGTAAATTTGTGCTGCACCGATTTTATCCCTTAACACTTTCACTTTTTAAAGTACACCAGTCTGTAGTATCTGTGTACAATTGATGCTTGTTAACATATTGTCTTTGAGATCAGGGTCCTGATTGATTTCAGACTAAGATGGTTTCTAAATATATAACTTTGAACTCTGTTTCTCTATGTGGTTACATCTAAAATATCAAAGGCTTTCTCACCTTACATTCTAGCTAAAATTTATTTTAAGTGCAGGATTGCTTGCAATGTCATAACCAACCAGGTGAACCTACTTAATTGGTTTGCTACCTGGCTATTGATTTCATAGTTAAGAGTAGGAGTAGCAAACTGCAGCCCATGGACCAAGTCTGGCCTAATGCCTATTTTTGTATGGCTTGTGGGTTAAAAATGTTTTTTAAAGAGTAATACATTGTAACCTCTGAAGATTATGTAAAATTCAAATTTCAGTGTTCATAAATTAGTTTTTGTTGGAACAGAGCCACACTTACCTGTTTTAGGTTTTGTCTATGTCTGCTCTCACACTACAATAGGAGAGTAGTTGCCACAGAGACCGTATGGCTCACAAAGCCTAAGATATTGACTATCTGGACCTTTAGAGAAAAAAGTACCGACCTCTGCTTAGGAAAAAACATTAACTCTTTCAGGCCAATGAGGTTTTCACTTTAGTACTGCCACTTTAGCTGTTAACTGGCATTCCAGTGGCCTGAAAGGGCATATTCCTCAGTGTATGTATCTCTGCACAGAACAGGTATTCTCAACCACGGAATCTCATCACACTCATGTACTGTGAGGTTTTTCACAATCAGTTTATTACTCATGAAATACCCAAGTTGCCATAGACTTTATGACAAAAGAAATGAGAACAGCTTAACGTTCAGCATTAAGCTCAGTCATTGTATCTTGGCTGGCTTTCTTGAGTGTGAGAAAAAGAAGTAGAGTCATAGGTAGGAAGGCAGAAGCTGCATCCAGATCTGAACATTCAGGTAAGAGCCAGCTCCACCTGTATGAGTCACCTACCAAGTATGGAGAAATCCTACATCTTGATACTCTGAAATGTTCATCTATCCCAGGGAAGATATTGCTTTGGTTCAGGGAAAAGTAGTACTTTTCTGAAAGAGTTAAATGTGTTTCTCAGTGGCTTCACAGGGGTAGCAGGGGCAAGAGAATTTGTCAAATTTAGGATTTTCATATTTAACATAAAAAGGAACAGGCACTTCAGAAGGAAGAAACTTGATGAAATAACCCAAATTGGGTCATATTAGAGGAAGATTCTCCACGCAATGGTCAGTGACTCTGACTGTAGAAAAACACAATTTTATTTACACTAAGATAGAGTTCAAGATAAACATTTTTTTCAAGTACAAGTTTAGGAAAGAAACCATAGTTGTAGTAAAAAAATACCTGTGACTTTGTCACTGACAGGTATTTCCTTATAGCAATTTTCAACCCTTTTCATCCCCTGGCACACACAAATTAATTATTAAATTCTACAGCACACCAAAAATATATTTTTTGCTGATCTGACAAAAAGTCGGTATAATTTTGATTGATTTACAAACAATATTAGTGATAGTAATTACCTACGCTTTTTGATTCAAAGTGACTTAAAAAAAAATTCAGGTGCCTATACTTGTTACAAGGATTCCAGGTACCAAGAGTTAACCAACCAGACTCAATCTTATTATGTGACATGACCAAGACAATGCAACTCAATTATATGACCAATATATTTATGGTTTCAGACAGGGCATTCACACCAGATGGCTACTGTTGTGTTGGTGGTGTCATTTTTTATTTGACAATCTAAGGGAAAAGAGATCAGTGTTCCTGACTAAATCATCAGGAATTGCATGTTTTAAAAATTTTTGTGGCATACCTGTTGAAATTGCTGCATTTTCACATTATAGTTGTTACAGTTTTTCAAAAAACTATTTATACTATCTCTTTTAAATTTTAATACTTATTGATCCACTGTTAGATTTTTTTTTAAACCCTTACCCAAGGACATGCTTATTGATTTGAGAGGGGGAAAGGAGGGAGAGAGAGAAAGAGGGAAACATCAATGGAGAGAAACATGGGTCAGTTGCCTCTCATTTGTGCCCTGACTAGGACTGAATCTGAAATCAAATCATGTGCCCTGACTGGGAATTGAACCCATGACATTTTAGATTATGGGATGACACTCTAAACAATTGAGTCAC